CTTCGGGCAGACGGGCCAAAGCAGTGGCGATCAGGTTCGATCGGGGTCTGCTCCAGTCGGTGAGATGGGCATGGGCGCACACGTGGCCATACAAAACTATCGAAACTAACGCGCCAATCGGGATGGGGCAAGGCGGTCCTCAAGGGCGCATGGGCAATTACAAGGTCCTCGCGGGCATCCCAAGCGTGCTCATGTATGAAGTTCTTATCCAGAGGAGGTTGAGCACCTGATGCACCATATTGACCAAGTGAGTGTACATGAGACGTCGAACCGCCCTCTTTGGAAAGTGAGCCCTATCTTAAATCATGCCCAGGGCGACTGTGCTAAGATGACCTTCTGGAGGGCCTCGATGAACGTTCCCCTTCTCTGTCCTTAACTCGTTTTCTCACCATGTTCAATGCCCGGTGCACGTCTGGGCGGTTTAGAAACGTCTCGGCCCCGCGTGTAGCTCGTGGGCTCGCGGACGAAGAAACGGTGGAGGAGGAAGGAGAAGAGGAAACAAGAGAGGGGGAGGCGTCACTCCATAACAGGTTCGTCCGTCCACCTGCCACTGCTGCTGCTCCTGCTCTGCCCCTCCTCCTCCTCCTCCTCCTCCTCCTCCTCCTCCTCCTCCTCCTCCTCCTCCTCCTCCCCCAAATACTTCATGTCATCGAAGGCTCGCCGCAGAGCCGGCGACGCCGCGGCGGTCACGGAGGAGTAGGAGGAGGGAGAGGAGGAGGAGGAGGAGGAGGAGGAGGAGGAGGGAGGAGGGAGGGGGAGGAGGAGGGATGGAGGAGCGAGGAGGAGGAGGAGGAGGGAGGGAGAGAGAGGAGGAGGAGGAGGAGGAGGAGGAGGAGGAGGAGGAGGAGGAGGATGAGAGGAGGAGGGAGGAGAGGAGGAGGAGGAGGAGGAGGAGGAGGAGGAGGAGGAGGAGGAGGAGGAGGACCCCCTCACTGCGTGCGATGCCATGCCGAACTCCGAGGCGGGTTAAAACACGGTAGCAAGAAAATTGGGTGCAGGAGCTACTAAGTGAACAGTTGCATGACTGAGACTACCGGCTAGAACTGGGCGCCTGCAAGGCTGATACTACTGGCATGAGGGTGGAAACCTCCGCCAGGACCAACCGAGACGCCGCACTCAAAACAGGTTCCACCAGCCACGGCTTTGCGCGGAGAACTTCTATCACCTCGACACCATCAGAAAAACGACGGAGCAAAGCACAGTCCGAGATGGAGGGCGCCCTTGCGCCCACATCAAAACTCGAACCCTCAGGCGTCTTCGCGCCCAATTGTAAAGATCCCGTCGCAACGTCGGGTCGTGAAAAATGCTGCAGTGTCCCTGCCGAGCCCTCCGCCTCACCCGAAGACGAATGTGCTACCGCCTGATCGGGGAGCGCCTCAACCGAAGGAAGCGGCTCCAAACCAACCACATCAGAGCATTCATCTGGGCGAGCCCCGGACACGGGCTCAGCCGAACACGAAAAGTGCAAGCGAGCCTCACGAAGAGTCTCAGCCGAAAGGCGAGCCTCACTAAGAGGCTCAGCCGAAAGGCGAGCCTCACTGAGAGGCTCAGCCAAAGTTGGGTTGCCTTTCTTCTTCCTGTGTCTCTTTCGCCGAGCCTTTACCTCTTCCTGGGCGGGGTGCGCACGATACGGGCCGGCGGAGGCGGCGGCTGAGGCCACTCCTGCAAGCCCAGCTTGGCCTCCTCCGAACGGGCGTCCTTCCCCGCCTTCTTCTTGTGCTTGCGTTTCCGGGGGCGCCGGGATCCTTCCGCCGAAGGAGGCGCAGGCGGAGCCGGGATCACTATCACCTTCGTAGGAGCCCTCGGAGCGGCCGGAGGCTCCGGAAGAAGCACACTGCTCGCCTCCGGAACTGCTGGCGATGCCGGGGGCCCCGCGCAGGCACCTTCGAACTTCTCCTTCCTCATCGGGGCCGAGAATAGAGCCGTCGCCTGCTTCGGGTTGGACGTAGCCGAGGCCGCCGGTGCCGGAAGCGGCGCCGGCAAGAGATGCTTGCCGGCCGCCGGAGCTCCAGCAGCCTCCCGCTGGCGGTCCCACCTCCGCAGGCGTTTTACCAGCTGCCCATCCGCCTCCATCTTCATAGCAACGGGAGCCGGAGTCACCAGCAAAGGGCGCCTCAGAAGATGATATGTCTCCTGGTCCACCACGTCGAACGGGCTCACCACCTCGCTCCAGTTGCCGGGCGGGGGCTCCATGGCAGATCACGAAATCCACCTGCCTCACACCAAAAGCTGAACAGAAACGCGAGAGACGAGTGCCCAGCTCCTCACCGAGCAAGTCGTCGGGAACGAAGAAGCGAGCGTGAATGGGCCCCTCGTTCAGGTCAGAAGCCGTACCCGTGAAGCGCACAGCACCGGAGACGATGCGGCCGGGCGGAAAGGAAGAAGTAAAGGAGGGTGGCCGGGCGGCAGTGGGGGGCCAGCTCGAGCCCTATCTCCCAGGGCCTGACCTGGGAGGCAGTGCTGCGCGACCTCGGCCCCCAGAGGCCTCGGCCTTGAGCCAAGAAGAGAGGAGGAGGAGGAGGAGGAGGAGGAGGAGGAGGAGGAGGAGGAGGAGGAGGAGGAGGAGGAGGGAGGAGGAGGAGGAGGAGGAGGAGGAGGAGGAGGAGGGAGTGGAACGAACCGAGTCCGTGAGGGCGGATCCACTCCGTGCCCGACGCTCGCCCGCTAGCGGCCGCCGTGCGGGGAAGCTCCCAGTCTCGGAGCGGTGTGCGGGCCGCGGCGCGGGCCTCAATGATGTTGCGGCAGGTGGCCCCCTCGAACGAGTTCACGTTGTCGCAGGAGCCCTCCTCCTCCTCCTCCTCCTCCTCCTCCTCCTCCTCCTCCTCGGCCTGGGCCCGACGTGGCGAGCCCTCGTGCGCGGGAGGAACTCCCGATCCTGCCCGCGCTCGCGTCCCGAGGCGCGATCGCGGGCAGGACTCGGGGTGTGGTACATCCTGGACGCGATGAACAGACGGCACAAGACGTGCGAAACGTGGTTCTCGTCCCCGCTGTCCGTGCTGTGACTGCCCTCGTGCGTGCCGATCTTCTTCAGCAGGCAGTTCGCGAGGCGGCCTCGTGGAAGAGCCAGGGCGTGCCATTGACGAGGGCAGACCAGATAGTGCAAAATACTCTCCGTGCTGTGCTGCGCGTCGCAGCCATCGATGCATGGCTTGCGTGCTGGCTTTGCGTGAAGTTGGTGCGACGTCGCCCAGCCGCCAGCGAGCTTTTGGAATGCAGGCCAGAAGCGCGACGGTCGTATCTCTGATAGCTCGGCACGAAACGCGCCTCCATTGGATCTTGGCCGGGTTGGGGAGCTGGCACATCGCCATATAATCGTTGTAGGCCAAGGCGCCTGGGTGCAGCTGCTCGTGAATCTCCTCGAGGTGGTGCTGATCCGACCAAGGGCGGGGAGCAACAGCTACTTCGCCCTGCGACTCGGGCATTGCTGTCTGCCTGGATGCCTGCGCCAACTCCCGACGGGAACGCGGACGATCGTGCCGCTGCTGGCCGAGGGGTCGAACTTCTTGCTCAAGTGCTGGCTCACGGGGCCTCTCTGATTGGCTGCCTGATTTGTGCACCGACAACTGGGATGCCAACGCCCGCCGCGACAACGATTGGATGGATTGGTGCGAACAGCATGTGCTCCGCCACCTTCGACGTCAGAGTCTTCGTATCCTCTTGCCCCACTCCACGGACGACGAGCTGCGCCGCCGTGCCAGGCACATCTGCTGCCAAGCACGGCACGACTCCGAGACCAATCGCCGCGCGAGGGCGCAGTACATGCAATGACAGCCGAAGACGAGCGAAATGCAGACGATATTCAACTTGGCCACGGCTGAGCATCGCCTGCGCCGTCAATGGATCCACGACGCCGATATGATCAACGACCCGGCAGGCTTCAGGAGGAGCCGTTGGCAAGTATGGGAACAGTCACTGCAACGTTTTCACGATCATGATATCAAAGTTGTCCACGTAGAGGTTCTTTTGCACCTCGGCCAGGTACTTGGACTGCGGCGATTTGCTCGGAGGTTCAACAAGCGAACGGACACGCGGCTGATGTCCAGGATCCGCTGCAGCACGAGCTCGGCGATGAGCAATCATGAGGTCGCGGTGAACCTGCACGGGCGTCTTCAAGAGACGCTTCGACGTCATGAATACCGATCACTTGCCAGCCGGGAAAGCGGTGCCGTCATGAGCCTCGTGCAGTCGCTGAGCGATCGATTGTGGCGTTGTCCAGCACGGGGCCGACCAGTTGCCTGGCACAGTCGAGACCATAGGGAGGTACTCAGTGGCAGCCTCGTAGAACATGTCGTGCATGAGCGGCCAGGGCTTGATGGTGGTCGTAGCAGCACGCCAAGCAGTGGCGCCCAGCAGCACTGCTACACCGGCGGGAATGTCAGCCCCAGCCCAAGTCTGCAAGCTCAGGGTGCCCATTCTCGTGAAAGCACTGGGCGCGGAACGAATCATCTTGTGCAGCACGTGTATCTCTCGGCTTAAGACCATCTCAGGAGCCTGAAAGAACTGTCCAACTTATGTGAGAGAACGACTCTTTGACTCTTTCTGGGCTGCGTGCTGGAACCCGGTAGCCCAAGCGGACACAGCATGATACTATGGGGCGCAAGCAATCAGCGCATCAGCCAAGGCGAGCCGCGGCCTGATTCGGCGCGGGGCCCTCTGGGCTTCATCGATGCCCACATCCGGCATCCCACAAGCGGCGAGCTTTTCCGCCATGTGCTCAATGTGGGTGCAACGCGAACTACATGCGGCGAGCTCCGCGCTAGAGCTCGTGGCGCTGCCCACGCCGAAACCGTAATTAGACCATCCAAGGGTACATATTCGTGCCGATCTTCACCCATAGAGCCCATGCTGCCCCAGCTTTGCCTTCCCGCCGCCCGCCGTCGAACCTGGCCACGACGTTTGCCTCCGCATGCCCTTTCAAGAGCTCCCACGGCACGAGGTTGATTGATTGCAGCAATCTCGCACTGTCGCTCCAATGCGGCTGTTGCGGTGGCGTCGCAGTCCTTGTTGTACTCCCGGTAGATGTGCCGAGCCCAATCTGCCCCGTCCGGTGCGACGGTCACTCTGCCCGTCCCCCAAGCCACGTACAAACTACGGCGCGCTCGAGCTAATGCCGGCGCCAGCCGTGAGTTCTGCATGTCCCACCGCCCGTTGAGCCACTCGACCGTGGTTTTGCTGTCTCCCTCGATCTGCACCCGCATCCGCATCGGTAGGGATGCAACGACATCCGGCGCAGTATCTAGGGCTTTCGCTGCCGGGGCCTGGAAGGCAAGCTGGGCGTACGGGGGAACTTGCCGAGGACACGGTTGCTGAGCAGGTCTCGACTGCCATCGTTCCCGTTCTTCACGCCAGCGCTGCACAGGAAGTCCCCAACTCGCAAAGCCGACCTGCACGAACTCCTGCAGCCGTTCTGACCAGACTGGTTGGGCAGCCTCCTCACGCCATCTAGGTCCTGCAGCAGAGAGATAGACGTCTTCCCACTGAGCTCGGCGCGCCCATCCTTGCCGATGTTGCCATGGGGTCTCCTCCTCCCGCGCGCGGGCAAAGGTACTGCGACTCGCTCGCTGCCTCCTCCTCTTCTTCATCCTGTCCTTCGTCCGCTGCCAGTCCTCCTCGGGGAGCGCCCTGGTCGCATAAGTCGGGAAGTCGCGCAAGCCACTCCCAGCTTTGGGGTCGCCTGGGGACGTCCGCCCGGTGACGGCGAGCGCCGCCATCTTGTGCTTGCCTTCCAAGAGCCTCTCAAGGACGAGCCTGCCTCCACCCCTGACCAAGATCGTTCTGGCGGAGGAGGAAGAGGAGGAGGAGGAGGAGGAGGAGGGGGAGGAGGAGGAAGCGGAGGAGGAGGAGGAGGAGGAGGAGGAGGAGGAGGAGAAGGAAGAGGAGCGACGAGTTGTACAGCATGATGTTCTGCTGGATCGGCGCGCCGGCTTCTCCAAGCATTCGCGATCCGTGTAGCCATTTCGCTGCAGGAGCGGCCCGTTGAGCACGCCCATCGGCACCTGGGCCCTATGTACACTCCAAGGTACTTGGCCTTGGAGTCGACCTTGAAGTAGGCCCAGTCCGAGGAGGAAGGAGAGGAGGAGGAGGAGGAGGAGGAGGAGGAGGAGGAGGAGGAGGAGGAGGAGGGGGGAGCAGGAGGGAGGGAAAGGAGGAGGAGGAGGAGGAGGAGGAGGAGGAGGAGGAGGAGGAGGAGGAGGAGGGAAAGGAGGAGGAGGAGGAGGAGGAGGAGGAGGAGGAGGAGGAGGGAGGGGAGGGAAGGAGGAGGAAGAGAGGAGGAGGAGGAGGAGGAGGGGAAACCATGCGAAGGCGCCACGCCACCCCTCCAGAGGGCCCCAATGGCCGCCGAGGCGCTGGCCGGCCGCCGCCGGCCGCCGATGGCGCCGCGGCGGCGGGGGCCGGACTCCGCCGCCGCCGCGGCGTGGCGGGCGGCGAGCCCCCCGCGGCGCGGCGGCGGCCCCCGATGCCTCGGCGGCGGTGGCCGTCGTCCTCGCCGGCGTCGTCCTCGTCGTCCTTCGTCGCCCTCTCGCGTCGTCCCTCGCCGTCCCCACCGCCGTGCTCGTTCTCGTCCTCGTCCTGGTCCTCTTCCTCGTCCTCGTCGTCCTCGTCCTCGTCCTCGTCCTCGTCGTCCTCGTCCTCGTCCTCGTCCTCGTCGTCGTCGTCGTCGTCGTCGTCGTCGTCGTCGTCGTCGTCGTCGTCCAGCGGAGTCGGAGGCGGAGGCGGCGGCTCGGCGACGACGGTGCCCCAACGGCGGGAGGGGGCAGGGGGCGGGGAGGAGGCATCGTGCGTTGGCCGAGGGGAAGCCAGCGCAGCAAGCAGATGCCGAGGGCAGGCGCCGCAGCAAGCAGCATGCCGAGGGGAGGCAGCATGCCGAGAGGGCGCAGCAAGCAGCGTGGCAAGCAGATGCCGGGGGGAGGCATCGTGCACTGGCCAGGGGGGCGCAAGCAGATGCCGACGCCGCCCCACGCGTCGGCGGGAAGCGGGGCGGCGGCGGGCAAGCCAGGAGGAAACTGTGGGGAGGCTGCACGCGGGCGGGTCGAGATGGGGACGACAAAGGGACGGGGTCAGGTCAGAAGCAAGCTCGAGCAGGCACGCAACCTTTCCGCCTCACTCCTCCTCCTCCTCCTCCTCCTCCTCCTCTGGGCCTCGCATCGCGACGGCAGCAGTCGGGGCGCGGATGCAAAGCGAGTTCTACAGGGCGTTCCCGTTCGCGTTCCCAGCCGTCCGCGGGGGGTGCACCAATCGAAGAGCCCCGCTGCAGCTCTGGCTGCAGAAAGCGCTGTCGCCGTGCTAGCGCACGAGCAGAAGCTCACGAGGTGGTACATGTTTCACATGCGCCATCCGGCCAGGGCAACAGCGACGCCCGAAGATGGGGGGTCGCTTGCCAGCGGCGCGTGCAATGCGATAGCCCGTGGGCCAACCAGAGCTGCAAACTCGCAGCGAGCACTCCGCGCAGAGCGCCGCCAATCCAACGTGGGAAGCAATGCGCTGAGGGCGGTGACGCCGAGCAATGACCTGCATGCCCCCCGCCAGCGCCAGCCAGTTCGCAGCCAGTGGCCACCGCGGTGCTCCCGACTTCCGGCAAGGCCTGCCAGAGGCGCATCGTCCAAGCTGCCGCCAGTGCATGCAGTCGGGATGGCGATGTTCGGAAACCGTGACCGGAAAGGCTCGAGCAAGAGCAGCCGAACACTTGCGCAAGAAGAGCGGGGTGCGAGGACCGCCCAGGCCTCCTGGTTGGGCCCAGCCGAGAGCCGGTAGCATCTTCATGGGGGCCCAGAAGACCCGAGCCAGCACGGGCGGCTCGAAGACGCTATGGGCGGAGGCAGGAGGGGCAATCTGCGCGATGCAGGAGGGCGCTGGCGCCGCCCTCGACGAGTTGAGCACTCCTTAGAAGTCGCCCGCGCATCGTCGCCTCCAGAGAGGGGGGGTCCGATAGCATGGCGTTCGTGACCTCTTGAACAAGCAGGAGGCCGAGATGGGTCATGGACGGGGCCGCCTCAAACCCATCCCGGGCAGGGTCATGATGACAGCAGGCTTGAGTTACCTGGGCCTGGACCTCTGGGGAGAACTTCCCATCTGGAGGGGTGGCCTTGCACTTGGGCACTCGGCGATAATCACGCAAGTGACTCGCATGACCCTCGCGAGGACGGGGGGGGGGCGTCGTGTTCCATGTCATACGGCGCCCATAACACCTGCGTGAGCGTGCCAGTCCTTTGCCGGCAGCCCCCAGATGCAACCCCAAATCGAGCGAGACGGGAAAGTGCGCGAGCGTGCGGAGACCCGGAGGTCCCGCGGCCCTGCGAGACGCCCGAACGCACCCGGTGAACGCGCGCCAGGAGGCCCCTGTTCGCCACGACCCCCTCGATGGCCGAGTAGAGTCACAGAAGAAACCTGAGTTAAGCAGGCGAGGAGGGCGAAGCCGAGGTAGCAGGCGCAGCAAATACCTGGCCGAAGTCGAAGGCGAGCGGGCGGGGTTGGCGAGCGTCGGCGCATGGGCGAGCAGAGGCAAGACGACCATTAGCAACCCAGCTCGAACACGTTGCGTCCATGGTTCCCCCCTGCCATGAGCCCCCCCTGCGACTTCGGAACGACGGCGCTGCCCAGGGGGCGCAGTGGCCGATTCATCGCCGACGTCAAGATCTCCAGGTGGGTACTCCGAAGCTGCAGGACTCGAACCCTGTTTGCAGGTCTAGAGCGCCCCCCGCCCTCTTCACCCTCCACCTCGGGGCCCTTCGCGGCGCGAACGACTGCGCTGTCGAGCTGGTGGCATCGAGCAGCGCGTGGCCCCGCGAGGGCCGGGCCTGCGCGAGGGCGAGGGCAGCCATCCCACATGCCGAGGCGGCCCGCGCGGCGCGCGGCAGACAGTCCGCCCCGGGCGCAGAGCGCCGAGCGCGACGGGAAGCACGTCTGATGGTAGCCTCTCTTTGTCACTGCACTGGCCCTGCAGGCGTGCTGCAGCGGATTTTCGCGTGGATTTCGTCCAATGCAAGACCCCGAGACGGCGAGCGAAAAACGAAGTGAATTGCACGTGGATGTGTCTTGTACCCTTCATTCCTGGCCAAAACAGACCCACGCGAAATTTACTTCGAAATCCGGAGCGAAACTCTCCAGGGCAACCCGGGCCCATCCCAATGTTTTCCGAACGAGATCCGCTCTTCGATGTTGGCGCCATGACTCTTGGAGGGCAGAGGGGCGCATCTTGCCTCAGCCACCGGCCCCAATAAACAAAGGCGTTCTCGCAAAGCCCCTACCCCAGCCCCGGCTGTGGCCCCAGCCCCGGAGTCCCATGGGGGGGCCCCCACCTTCTCAAGGGTCGGCGGCGCCAGCCGCGAGGCCTCCGCACTACCTCTCAGCCACCGGTCCCAAGAACAAAAATTCTAGCAAAGACTGGCGACCAGTGATCCGCTAAGGCCCGCGCTCCCTCGTGCAGCCTGCGGGCGGCCCCAGGCGGCGCGCGCGCTGCTTGTCGGAGACCAGAGGTCTAGAGAGGGGAGCCCGCGTGGCCGCCCGACGTCCAGGCGAGCGCGTGAAACGGAGGGCGGAGAGGAGCACAGGGATCGACCCAAACAATGTGTTTTGTTCTCGTTTTGTTTCTGTTTACCCTCGCTTCGTCTTCGATCCGCCTTTGCTGCAAAGCGACGTCGAAACGAAAACGGCCCGCAAAATCGCCCAAACACCGTATAGGTCGACCTCTGGTGGAGCACGCGCAGCCGCGGCATCGCCCGCAGCTTGGACCGCTTGCTTCCAGGGGCCGCACGCGATGCCGCGTGCCGAAGAGCGACGCGACGCCCGTCCACATCCAGAAGGTCAGGTGCAGTCTCTGAGGCGCCCATGTGCCGACGAGCCAATGCCGCCCCCTGCCGCCAGGTCACTCGCGCGCAGCCTCTGGCAACGAAAAAAAACCGTCGGATGAACCTCAACTCGCCGGATGATCAACAGATCTCGCACCACGCGAGTCGCTCATTTGAAGGTCGCGTTGAAGTGCCCCTTATACAGAAAAAAAACATCAAAGCGTCAGCCACTCTGCCCCGTCGACCACTGTGCCCTCGATCCGTTTATTGAGCAACGGGTACTGGAAGACGGGCTTCGAAACGGGTTGTTCTGCTTTGGGGCGGGCGTGCTTCTGCCAGAGCGTGGCGACCAACGCGGCGCGGTCCAAGATGCCCGACCAAAGGTCGAAACGCCCGACCAAAGGTCGACATGGAGAAACGATCCAGGCAGCTGACCGAGTTCGCGAATTTAGCGCATTGAACATGGGGGCTCCGAGGCGATCTCCATGAGCGCGCCGACAACGCGCATCCAACGGGCAGCCCGGGTGCGATGATGCCGGGGGTCTCGCGCTTTCGCCGCGGCGGGCCGATGCAGCAGCACAGTCGCGTCATGCCCAGAACGGAAGGCGCAGAGGGTCGGGGGCGGTCTGAACCCTGGCGGCGCCGCCCTGCCCACAGGTTCCGTTCGCCTGCTTGGCTTGGAGGCCGTGGTT